AACAACAACAATCTTTAAGGAAGCATATCGCCAGGTCTTTCTTTTCTGGGTGAGTTCGAACCGCCAACCTTTCAGTTAGCAGCAGAGCACTTGACTGTTGAGCCACCAGGGCTATAAGTTTTTTAAAATTCAAATTTTCACATAAAAGCTCGAATTTCAACACTGACAACAAATACTGTCAGTTGTTTTCCTTGAAGTGACAGGCTCATCTCGTTCACTTTTTAAAAAAACAATCTCAATAAACATAGTTTCAAGTAAAAATGGTATTTCATGAAAAAAAGCAGCTAGTTCAGCTGGCGACCACCCCCCACCCCCGCCCAATTGCACAAGCGTTTTTCCCAGAGGCGACAATCCTAATTCTGTATTCAGCAAAACTGCTTTATGCGCACTTCTCATTTTGACACATAGAATATTAAAAAAGACACGTACCCGAGGACTGAGCTATAATAATATTAATGACTACAACCTCTTCTCTGAGGACATTCTTAAGTAAAACTTGCCATCTATTTTTCTATTTTTACTCTGAGTGCGTGGGGGTGAAGAATACAAAGGCTATTTGTCCAATTTGGTGTTTCTGTTGTGATTTATGCTAAAGCACCAGCAGTTGTACCCATCATTACTTTTGTACCATCTGTGCAAAAGGGAAATTGTGTCAGCAAAAAAGGCAAAAAGATGTCTTAATAGTATTATGAAAATAGTTTTGACCTTGTTAGGGATTGAATTTTGTCTCGAAAAAAATACTTGTTGTAAATCCTAACCCCTATACTTGTAGATATCATTCTGTTTGGAAATAGAGTTTTCTTTGTCATGTTAATGGTACCATATGGGTGTAGGGTGTGTCCTCAACCTAATCACTTCTGAGTTATAGAAAGAACAGATTAGACACATATGTGACCACAAACGGGGCGGGGGGAAGTTGGAGTCGATAGGTGCCAGGTGAAGATTGCCAAGGAGCCGAGCAACACTGGGGCTACAGAAGCTGGAAGACATAAGGATCAAGGATCTTCCCCCAGAGCCGACAGAGAGAGAGCCTTCCCCTAGAATCGGTGCCCTGAATTCAGACTTCTAGCCTCCTAAACTGTGAGAAAATAAATTTCTGTTCTTAAAAGCACCCACTTGTGCTATTTCTGTGACAGCAGCACTAGGAAACGAAGACAGACTTCATGGGCCCTGAAAGGGTCTCAGGGACCCACAGCCGTCCATGGAATGCACTTTGAGAACTGCTGGTTTTCAGGGAAAGACCAAAGGTGCTCAGAACTGAAACCTGGCATCTAGAATTTCCTAGTTCCTCCTCTAAGATGTCCACAAGACATCTAAGTTTTTTTTTTGAGGAACAGCTTTACGGAGATGTGACAACAGGGCGTATGGCCCCTGATTCTCCTCTCGCCCACGTGTGGGATTTCAAACCCCTTCCCCACCCTGACCACTCCTCACTGAACCTTTAAATGTACTACCCGCTAAACCCAGCACTCCACGTAGGGCCTCATCAGCTTGGAGTCGATCAGAGTGACATTCCTTGATACCAAATTTAACCCTTGTGTGATGATGAAAGTTATGGCACCACACTAGAAGAACTCTGGAAAACTAGGAAAAGAAAAAAATGACTTGTAATCTCACCACCTTAATAACCACTGTCAGGCTGTGGCTTAGGGTGGCCTCAGACTGTGTTGACTCATCCTGAATTTATCGTTGATGAAAATCCCCACGGCTTTTTTCGTCCTGCTGCTACTAAGCCACGTCATCCTGGCCCTTTCATGTTGGGTTCGGGGCCCCAAGAGGAAGATCTGACATTCAGACCTGTCCATTTCATTTATATAGAGCTGCCTTGTCAACATCTTTTGGGGTCTGGAGTCCCTTAGTCAAAGTTTTCCCTAACCCTTCTAGTTTCATGTAATCTGCAAATAGGGTCACCCTCATCCATGTCAATGGGCTTTATTATGTATTCTCCCACAGGTATTTGAATCTTGGATCATCACTTTCAGTGGTGAAGTCATGCCCCTTGATGATGGCATTTGTCATATCTGCCCGTGGCCTAGTGACCCTGCCAAGAGAGGAAAGAGCTGAATCTGATGCGACCTGTGCTTAGTCAATATTAACGATTGTGACTCCCTCCAACCTGGAGGCAGAGGTGGCTCAACCTGAACGTCTGGTCTCAGCTCCTTTGCCCACCTCATCCAAAGTGTATTGTCCCTGGCTAAAGAGACTGAAACAGAACCAGGTAGAGAGCTCTGCTTTCTTGCTGTCACTCCCTAGCCTTACATCTGTATGGGCTTCTTACTTGAGATAAAATCCAAAGACCCATCTTTGGAGGTATCTACAGCTTTTGCTGAAAAAGACCTCTTTAAAGCATTAAAAAGCAAAGATGTCACCTTGAAGACTAAAGTGCACCTGACCCAAGCCATGGTATTTCCAATTGCCTCATATGCATGCAAAAGCTGGTCAATGAATAAGGAAGACCAAAGAAGAATTGATGCCTTTGAATTATGGTGTTGGCAAAGAAAATTGAATATACTATGGACTGCCAAAAGAATGAACAAATCTGTCTAGGAAGAAGTACAGCCAGAAGGCTCCTTAGAAGCAAGGATGGCGAGACTTCGTCTACACGTACTTTGGACATGTTATCAAGAGGGACCAGTCCCTGGAGAAGAACATCATGCTTGGTAGAGGATCAGCGAAACAGAGGAAGACCCTCAACGAGATAGACTGACACAGTGGCTGCAACAATGGGCTCAAACATAACAACGATTATGAGGATGGTGCAGGACCGGGCAGTGTTTCGTTCTGCTGTACATAGAGTCACTATGAGTCAGAACCGACCTGATGGCACCTAACAACAACAACAACGACACAGCTTTTGCAAGACTTGGTTTATTTTAGTTTTTAGCCTTTCTGATGCTATTCCTACAAATCTTACCTTGGGACACCCTTTCCTGCATTTATTCAACCAGTATTTATTGAGCACCTACTGTTTGCCAAGAAGTCACTGGGTGGGGCAACAGATTAATGAATGTGCCCATCGGTTAACTGAAAGGCTGGTGGTTTGAGTCCACCCACAGGCGCTTTGGAAGAAAGTCCTGGCAATCTACTTCTAAAAAATCAGCCACGGAAAACCCTAGGGGGCACAGTTTTCTACTCCGACACACATGGGGTTGCCATGAGTCAGAATCAACTCAACAGCAACTGGTACTATTTGCCAAGCCCTAGGCACTTATAGGGGATAAAACAGTGAAAACTGTGACACGATCTTTGACCTCGTGGAGCTTCTGTTCTACTGTGGAGACAATAAACAGTAGTTAAACAAGTATTTCGTGCTCTGAAGACATTAAAACAGGACAACGTGACAGAGAGAGGTTGCTGAGAATCCAGTAGGCAACCACTCAGATAAGATGATCAGGGAAAGTCTCTGTGAAGAGGAGACATTTCAGCTGAGACCTGAATGAAGAGAAGAAGCTAGCCATGCAAAGATCTGGAGGAAGAGCAGTCCCAGCAGAGAAAACAGCAAAGAGAAAGGTCCCGAGGCAGGAAGGGGCCCAGCATGTGAGAGGACCAGAAAGAAGGTCCACGTGGCTGGACTCGAGGGCACATGGGCTCAGATGAAGTTGGAGGATGGCAGGGGCTAGATCTCACTGCACTTTTAGGCCAGGCTGAGGGTTGGCTCTTATTCTAAGTGCAGTGGAGGGTTCTGAGGAGAGGAGTGCTGGATTGTGATTTAATCTGATTTCAGCATCCCTCTCAATCTCAACTGGCTTGCAGGCTATGACCACACAGCCTTCTTGTAGATGCCCCCACTTCCTTCCTCTTCAAACCATTTGCATTTGCACAGTTCCCTATCACTCAGGAACCAGGACAGTAGTTTACCCCCAGGTCAGTTACCATGACCCACTCAGCCCCCACCGCCACCTGGCCTCAGTCTCTGCATCCGTGAAGGGGGGGGGGGGACCAAATGATGCATAAAGCCTCTCCAGTTCTATCATTCCATCAGTGGATTTTCATTGGAAGAGGATGCAGCAGAAGTGAAATCTGGAGAGAAATGAAAGTGAAAGATGGAAACTATTCTTCCCGACCCAGGAAGGCAGGCAGGGGTGGGGATGGGTATAGTAGGAGAGAAGGAAAGGAGGTTTTTGGAAAGTCAGGCGGAGAAGACCCTGTGACCCAGGCTTTCATTTCCCCTAAACACCCCGCAGCTTCATGTGACACAGGCTGGCCACAGGAGCGAGCAAAAGGGGAAGCGAGGGACACCCAGAGTTTCTCAAGAAGCCGAGAGAGAGACAGAGGCTGAGCCGGGAGGGACAGCCAGAGGGGACAGGGCCGAGAGAGAGTCGGGGAACAGGGAGGAGGTGGAAGAGACGGCAGTGGGTGGGTAGGGGCAAAGGGACCCCTGCGGAAGGGTGATCCCCGAAGAGTGTAGGCCAAGTGCTGCAAGGGCAGGTCGACAGTTAAAAAGGGCGACCATACCGGGAGACCAGAAGGAGAGAGGAGGGAGAAGGGCAGAAAAGGGGAGAGAGGAAGGGTCGGCAGTGACAAAGAGGAAATGGGGAGAAAGAGTCAGGGCGCTGGGAGGTGAGCGGGAGGAGGGGGAGAAGCTGTAGGGGGTGAGGAAGATTTAGGGGTGGAAGGGGGGGAAGAAAAGAGAATTGGGGAGCGGGGTATGTAGAAACTGGGTAGTGAGCAGAGGGACCAGAGGAGGGGACGAAAGAGAAGGAGAGGGAACAGGGAAAAAGAGGGGATAAAGGGGGAGACACTAGTGGGCAGAAAGG